AGCTTTTTTGAGGTGTACTTTTTTAATTGCAGAAGCGGTCAGCCTATGATGGTTTTTCCAACACATCTGATATTTCCATGTTCTGTACTAACTTCCTTTATCAAAATGATAACAAGGAAGAGTCACGTGCTAACAACATTTGTCTCATAAGCGTTTCTTTCCAAACTTTTGAGACTTCAAGTAAAAAATTGATAAAAACGAGGCGAGATTTTCAGTAGCACGGTAAAAATTCTACGATTTTGACAGTAGACTTAATTCAGATTTACAGAGCAACGTAAAAAGTACATCTCAGGGCTGCTTATAATTTTTAATCACCTGCATTTTAATTCAATGGACTGTTGTCACTACCCTTAATCAGCCGATATTAAAAAGAAAAGGACAAATTTTCCTACACATCTGACAATAATATTTTTCAACAAAAAATCTAAAGCAACGAAGATGCAATCAGTTGAAGACACCCTTAGTTTACATCAGTGAATGTCGATCTGATCACCAAACAACAGCTTTCGGTAGATTGACAGAAATAATAATTAAAAAGAGCTCAGAGCTACCTTAAATTTTTATGAGTGGTAGAACAAGACCGCTATGAATTGTTACGAGGTATTTTAAGAGTCACTTATTCAGCTATAACTTTTTCTAAGAGGAAAACTTTGAAAAACATGTTCACGCTGACTTTGGAAAAAAAAATTTAAGGTGTTCCGAATTTGAAAGCTTGAGATAGTTTAAGAAAATGAACAACACTTTTTAAAAACATGTTTCGACAGTTCTTCTGTCATCTTAAGTTCTGAATAATATAAAGTACAAAGTTGAATTTAAAGTGTGTAACAAAATGCTGATTGGACAAAACAAACAATGGTAACAGAACTAAAGATGACAGAAGAACTGTCGAAACATGTGTCGTTCATTTTCTTAAATTCGTTACATATCTGCCTCTTTGGTTCTTAATTGTTGCTGTTGGTACCAATAACTAAAAAATGAGCAAGTTGATTCATTTGAGCTCAAAATGAATAACAATTAACTGATCTATTTCCGCAAGTTTTTTTCCTGGGACGCTTTTCCCGTCAAATGAAGGCACGAGGCCGTTCTTTCCGCAGATTGAAAAAGTTGTGAAAGAGCAAACCGAGCCAGCTTAATTTTTCGAGTGTGGTAGATTTAAAACATTTGGAACAAATGCTGTAAATTGTTGTGATACATACTAAATTTAGAATTTAAGTTACTGTTTTTTTGAACAAATGGAGTAACACAGGCAAGCTTGGATTTCCCGTTTTTCATTGCAACAAGCAGGGGCGTATTTTGAAGCTGTTAGAGAAGCCAACCATCATTGTGTGAACGTAAACGATTTGTAGTGAACCAACAAAACTGGCAAACGAAAGTACGAAGAAATATTGTATTGCTTAGAAGAAACGCAACTTGACGACTAATTTACTGTAATAATTCACGTTGTGACCAGCTAGATTGAACTAGGTCTCGAGTTCTTTGACAAAATATCACTAAATAACGTAGTGTTAAAGAACGTCACCTAACATTGCAAATAGTTCAAACAAATTAAATGAGCAGAGTGTTTCCATTTATAATTACACCTAACAAATAATTATAAACGATCAGTTTATGAAAATACAGCTTTACGCAGACCCAGAAAGAGAACGACCGTAAAATTTTAGGAGTCGTAAAAATGAATAAAACTTTTGTTAGGTGACTTACATGCACAATTACGGATATTAAGAACTCCCAAACGATGCAAATTTGTTAAGAGAAAACTGTGATAAAAAATTGTAAAGACCTTAAAAAATGTATCATTTGATAACGTCTTAAGGCCAAAATTGTCTTCTTAAACTATGGCAAAAATATTTACTAGAAGACGCTCTAAGATTGCAGAGGGTTAGCCTCGTTATCGTTCTGCACTTAAAGATGGTATCTATGAAATGAGCGTTTTAATTCCTTCGAAAGCTTCAGTTTTTCGGTCAAATATGAGTGAGAGTAGTTCTTCCGTTACCTTTGAAACTTTTTTGGGTCAAGAAAATACATTCAATTGCCAACGTTGCACTAGAATATTATCGTTGTTAGTCCATCGAAATCTTAGTCAAAATTTGAGCTTTCGTCGCTTTGCTTCTACGAATGATGGATCGCAGTAACTGAGATTTTAGGAAATATACTTTTTTGGTGAATTGAAAGATGAGGAAGTAATTATTATTAACATGCATCAGGTGAATTTCAACACTTCAAAGAATCAACTGCCCTCGAATTATAAAAGAAAAAATTTTACTAGGGAGTTGTTATTTATTTTTTTTTTTTTGCTTAGAAAGCTTAAAATAAATCAAGAGAGCTAATAAATACTATCTGAAATAAAAAAAGGCACTGAATACACCAAAAATTGCAAATTGCATTGGTCTCGGTTTTGTTTGCTGCTTGTTTGTTTTTTCGTAAAGAGAGGACATTTTTAAAAAAACAAGACGCGTGAAAGCCTGGTTTTCAGTGATCTCTTTTATCAAATATCGTTTTTTCGAACTGAAAAACCTTAAACTTGTACACCCCAACATCATTGTGCATATTCTCCACACTGTTCTGTACACATTTTCAAAGGTGCTCACAAGAAGAATTTGTTTAACAATCTTGCATTAGCTTCTTTAGCTGGTGATCATTTCCTTTATTCTCACGACCTTGATGTTTGATTCAGAGGCGATATCGAAAGGAGAAATTAGATGCTAGTCACTCCTGGGGGTTAAGGGTTAATAGCCATTCAGCATCCTTGGACATGAAATGCGCTCGGTGAACTTTTCAAACTGTATAACAAAATGTCCAAATATAAAATCGAACCGTCACCAAAAACAATTACGCGCGAAACTCCATTCCTATATACAATGTGACTTAATTTAAGTGTATTATAACTTGCCAAGGTTTGGAGATTTTAAAAATATACATATAAAAATAAAAAATAAATAAATAAGTAAAAAGTGCCCCTCTTAATTAGTTCTTTTTTACATTTCTTGGATAATTTCAAAAAATGCCGATAATAATGGATTGCCTTTGTTACTACAGCTTTTGAAATAGTTTAGGGTTATACCAAAATCTTTCCCAAACGGCCAATTGTCCTTCTGTCATTTCATTTGATTGTTTCGTTAGTATCTCGTGCAACGTAAGCTGTTCTTAAATTTGGTTGTTACGTTAGTATTTCGCGCGAAATTGGCTGTCCTTTTATTTCATTGTTACTTTTGTATCTCGTGCAACTATAATTTTCCTTTCATTTCATTGATTCGTTTGTTTCTCGCGCAAATTAAGCTGTCCCTTTCAGCTGTTACCTATTACGATTCCTATAGATTCTGACTAATTTTGGCCAACTTACCTTCGTTTAAGTGCCCTCATTTAGACATGTATCAAGCAATCTTGAATTTTTCTTTTTAGTCAATTCAAAGTCGATGCCACCTGGTTGTGAATCATAGGAGGGATTTTTTCAGTAGAGACGAAACACTGGACAGGGAAACATTTTTCAATTCGTAGACAGAGAGGCAGTGCCCTTCGAGGCCGAGAAAAACCATCCCCCTCCCCTCCCACCTCGCCTACTCTCTGTGCCGTTCATTCAACACTCGCTCGAGTAAAATGGATTGAATTTCGTCTTAAACTAAGATTCTCAAATAAAATAACATAGGTATAGTATACTTTACACTTTTCGGAATCGTAACTTCCACTATTTGGTACAAAAGAAGGATAAGTTATGATGTAATTAAGCTTACCTTGAAAGTTAGGACTTGAAATGGACGCCATTCTTACATTTAGTGTTTCCGCGGGGTTCACTGAGACCCACTACATGGTATAATAACTTCTTCCCCATGTTCGACATTGAGGAAAATCGTTTGTAGCTTTCCAAGAGTGCAGTTAAAGGATGTTTGAATCTACATCAAAACTTCAAGCGCCATTTTACCATCGGCTAGTTCAACATCACTCCACGTGATAACGGGGAGGTGAATAATTAACTGAATTTGAAATTCAAATGAGTTTGTCACCGGGAGCTTTTGACGAGCTGTAATGAACAAAAGATTCAATGATCTCTAGCTAAACAATGATCAAGTGCGTGCATTTTAGGATGGTACATACCTTCAATGATAAAATTACGGTTTGGCCCTCTCTCTGCTCTAAATCAGGCGGGGGAAGAGAAGGTTGTCTACTAAGTATGTTCTCTGGGGTAGACAAATCTTAGTCCTATATCTAAAAGTGTGTTTTAACGGTATCGCTGTCTTTATGATTGTCAACGTCATCATAAATTCCAAATCAATGACGTCAACAAAATACTTTCAGTAATTGCGCGTGTTCAGCCCGATGAACAAGGGGGCTGGGAACGAGATTAGTTAACCAGTCAGATTGCTACGTGGATGAAAAGCTTCTCGTGATACGACTAAGTGTGAACCTGAAATCAAACAGTTTGCGCCTATGCGAGCTCATGTGCGCGTTTTCAAATTCATATATGTGCGTTTGCGACGTTGCGTTTTTGTTTGATAGCGTCGGGTTCGCATTAGTGTTCGGCAGCTTTTTCCACCGACGAGTTGTTTGATTTTTCTGAAATATTACGCAAATGACATCACTTGTTACTTGCGCATGCAAAGAAACAAAATGTACGGGAGTCACACGATGTGCGTAACGTCACCTTCAGTCAACGCTTAGTGGTTGCTAACCACGCTGGTACTACAAAGGGCTCCTGAAGGGTTCACATTGGGGCATTTTGGATTTTTTGATGCAACGGATGGGCAAAAAATTATCAAAAAGTAGTCCTCGTTTAACTTAAGCATATGAGTGTGAACGACGCCTTAATTTTCTGTATCGCTGAAGAACAACTTCGTCTGTCAAACTTCATATTCCCCAGTCGTTGCACAAACTTCGAGAACACGTTTGTTCTTCTTTGTAAGAGTGTTTTTTAATTTGTTTGTTTAGACATGATCGAAGAGTTGTCTACTCATAAGTGGGAGCAGAGGAAAGACGAGAGAGCAACACTGAAGCTTTTATTCTGTTCAAAAGTTTTAATGTATTTTAAAGGTTGTGAAAATCGTACAAGTTTAGAACGGACTTAAAATGAACAAAACTTGCATCGAGTTGAAATATTCTTCTTGACTTTCTGTAATTCTGGACAAACAAACGCTCATTTTTTTTCATTGAGAGTCCCTATCGTGACCCCACTTTCAATTTCAGAGTTCAGTTCCCGGACCACTGTCATGTGATCGAATTTATCTGGGAAGATGTTAAAAGTTTTGAGAATTTCCTCTCTGCGGTCACTCTCCGAAGCGTAGTACATCTGAACTTGGTAGGCGAGCCACTGAGCATCCAACACGCTCTGTATTAAAAACAAAAACAGCCAATCATAACCAAAACCGTACAGAGAGCCAATAAGAGTCGAACGCCAAAAAAATATCACCCAATCAGGACCAACGTTTCGGAAAAAAGAGCCAATAAGAGTCGTGGGCGTAAATGCCGTCAGTGGTACCAAGCGCCAAGCGCCAAGAGCGGTGCTGGCTTGAATGGCGCCAAAATCAACAACAGCTAACCAGGATCAACGGTTCAGCGAAAAGAGCCAATAAAAGTAATGGCCGTAAATGCCGTCAGAGGCACCAAGCGCCAAGCGCGGTGCTGGCTCGAATGGCGCCAAAATCAACAATAGCTAATCAGGATTAACGGTTCGGCAAAAAGAGCCAATAAGAGTCAAGGCCGTTAATGCCGTCAGTAGCACCAAGCGCCATGCGCGGTGCTGGCTCGAATAGCGCCAGAATCAACAACAGCCAATCAGAATCAATGGTTCTGCAAAAGGAGTCAGTGAGAGTCGAGGCCGTAAATGCCGTCAGTGGCAGCAAGCGCCAGGCACGGTGTTGGCTCGAAAGAATAAGAGGGTTTTAAAATAGTTACTTTTAAATGTATTTTCCCCGAAATCAAGAAGCTTTGATTTTGGGCGATAATTATTAAATTGAAGCCACTAAATCACGAGAAGTGTAACTGCAAAAATCAACCGTGCTTTTTCGAACCTTCGCCATTTGTAATCTGCTTTTCTTCTGCATTAAGCACTTATCTGTTCAAAGTATTTGAAAATCACAAACCAAAAGAAACAAGTGATTGATCTAACTCACTGACCATTTCATTTGTGTCAATTTCTCCAACCATCAGCACTATTCCTGTAACAAAAAGGAAAATGAATTCATTGTCGCACAATATCTTCAACCCTTCGTTTTTTTCTTAAGATAGAAAAGTAGCCAACCAGTTTCATCAATTACATAACAGAAAAAAATTATAATCACTGACCTTTACTTTCTCTGATGTCTGTAAAGTGTTTGATAGCCAGAGACCAGGGTGCGTTTTCGCCTCGTGTCTGTAAAAAAAGATTATATGGATAAGAATACTTTTCCACTGTTGTGAAACACGGCAAACAAAAGTGCTCCCGAGGACCAATGAGAGCAAAGGATACTATCACAAGGAACCAATCAGAAATCAGAGTATACACACATCACCGGTCAAAAGCGCGGGAAAACGCCTTTGACCAAATCGCAATGGGTTGCTTTTGGAATCCATCGCGGATCCAAGGAAAGAAAAATTGAGGTAATCCATCTCTTCTTTAGTAAACCAATTCTAGATGATTGGATCAAAAAAATTTATCTTTTCTCCCACAAATTTCGATATGGATATAACGCATAATCATAAATCCATGAGTGTCTCTTGACATAGTTGTATGCAATCTCAGATGTTTCCGTACATAAATTGTATTTCAAAACCACTCAAATTGATCACTAACAATAATGACAGACACTACGCGCGCTTTTATTCCATTGGTTGATAACTTCTCGCGCGCTTTAATCCTATTGGCTTACAACTGCTCGCGCGTTTCTACCTCATTGGCTGGTAATTGCGCGCGCAAATACTGTTACGTCATAAAAGATAAATTTTCTCTCCGTAAAAGCAGTGATCAAAGCAATGAAAGGCCCTTAACTCTAGGTTTCTACCAAACCCTCCTTTAAAGTTTTGTACACTGGTGAAAATTCAGAATGGGAGTCACATTGAGCTATTACCAATCCCGAGAAGAAGATTACATGGTGGCAAAAAGGTATAGAAAAGCAGTTTGTGGACATTTTTTTTCGTGCTGAAGTCTAGATGATACATTTAGCAACGGTTCCTTTATTTTGCAGTACTACATGTAGAAAACCAAACTGCTCTTTCCAAGTGAAGAAAAAAGTTCTTCCTTCTCAAAAAACCGTCAACCTGGAAGGAATCCAGCTCAATGTGAGCGAAGGATGGAAGCTGCCAGATAAGAAATGAAGGTATGATGATATCAGAATAATCGTTTTATTCCCCGTTTGCTTACTGTGGACAAGAATTAATTCCCACTCCTTCTAACAGCGTGTAATGAAGTGACCGTCGGTTGGGGAGAATCTTGAAAACTGTTGTTCGAGCGCATATCAAATAATTTCCTTGAAAACAAAACCAAAGCTCTAACATCGGCCAATTAGAACAAGGAAAAATATCACAGGGAACAGATAAAAACTCAAGGCAAAAACGAGCAAACTGCGTCGAGCGCGGGAAAACTCGAGTGACCAAGTCGCGATTGGTCCACGTTTTGAGGTAAAGCGCGGAAAAACGCAAGTGACTAAGCCGCGATTGGTCTCTGTTTTGATTCTTATTGGTTGAGAGGTTGGCGGGAGATTTTCCTAAACCAATCATAGAACAAGGTAATGCCCGGGAAAACGCGAATGAGCAAGACGCGGTTGGTCCACGTTTTGAATCTTATTGGTTGAGAGGTTGGCAGGAGATTTCTAAACCAATCACAGAGCAGGGTTACGCTAAACCATCAATCGGATTACATTTAGCACTCCATTGAAAACAAATACTTTACTTCAGGCCGGCAACCTGAGCAGAATAATTGAAGACGAGGATAATGATGACAAAAACGCATATTCACTGTCCACCTGGCTATCAGGTAACTCAAGTGGTTACAAAGCAGAGTTATAAAGGCACAATAATGATTCTTTCTTACTTGATAATGAAGGAGAGAAGTGAAATAGCACTTGTGGTCTTTGAATTCGGAATACACGTATTCATATCCCTGTTCTCTTGGAAGAGGATAGAGGAACTGAAATTAAAAAAAAATTGAGTGGATATGCTGAGGACAGTATCCTGACTGTTTCATGTGTTAAAACAACGTGTTATTTTTAAGTGAATTTCAACGAAAACAGTGCTTGAATGCTGTAACTCTCTATGACTCTGTAACAATAAAGGATAAATTCTACTCAACTGCCATGGGCAGGTGTAAAAAATCTAATTTGAATTCGCAAAAAAAGAGCCTAGATCCCAACTCTGTGATTAAAAAGATATAACTAACTTAATATTGAACTAACTACACCATTTGGCTTCAATAGAGATTTTGAAACTTCTTATTTTCCAAAACAAACTGGTAACAACTGTGCAATGAAAGAAAGCTCAAAAACTAAAACTTGAATTGCAAAAAAAGACAAGACAAGACAAAACAGGAGTACTCAAAAGTGTTTCAACAATTTCTAATGCCAAAGTTTAAGTCTGAAGACATGATTGGCTCATGTTTGTAAATCACATTTGCCGCACACAAATACAAAAAAGATAGACAGGGAGAGGGGGGTAGGAAGAGAAAATTGTTGTTTGAATTTTACAAACATAAGAAATTTTCCACAACAAGAAAACAACTGTCAACTGTGTTAAAAGTGATGTCTAAAAACTATTGACATCCACTTACCAGTGGAAACTTGAGAAATCGCTCTTCCATCCTGTCATACACAGTGCTCTATAAAGGAGAAAAAAAAGATGTACAAGTTTTGCCTGTGTTCTTTCAATATCCTGTGTGGGTTATTATGCCAGTAAACTGATAAAAAGGGTAGGCTATTGCTTAAGCATCACCCATCTCAGTTATAGATACAAAAAAACCACAAACAAAATGATCATATTTGGCCAAACCTAAAATGCACTGGTACCTCAATTAGAATCCTTGCAATTAGGTACAATATTATAATTTAAAAACCTTGACTTCAGATACATAGTCAGTGTAAGGAACACTGTAATTATTATCAAGTAGCAAATTTTTCTGAGAAAATTTTCATTCTCACTCACTGGGATGATAGCACTGATGCAGTCCTTGTCCCTGTGATATTCTCTCCAGATCTGCAGACACATAAGTAGAATATAATACCTTTTTATTAACTGAGTTCAAGGTCCATACTGTCCATACAAGCACAAAGCTTGCAGGACATAATTCAAAAGAAAAAAATTAGTTTCCATAACTTACAGTACAGACGGAAAATACAAGGTTGGTAAGACAAGACAGTCTTTGTTCAAGCCACTATTTACAACATTATGCAGTTTGCTGTCGTTGGTGTGTTTTAGAATGCTGTCATTGGTGCAATTCGATCATCATTATTATTCCAACTTCCAGATGTCCTTCCCTCATAGGTCAGCTTTCAAAGACTGATTGGTTGTTGTATGTTTTGATAATAGGGATCCTTGCTTTAGGAATTTCGATTCCACTGTCTCTATTTATTTCAGAACATCATAACTAGAAGGGAAAAAGGATCTTTTTCAAATTTATTGAAGTTCTCACCTGTCCAATCTCATCTGCACTTTTGTCCATAATCTTATCCAGATGCATAATGGAGTTCAATGTCTGGAAAATGAAGAACAGGAATAGAAATTGCTAATCAAAATATACTAACTCTATCCAATTATTTGTGTGGCCCTGCATGCTCAGTTCCACAGAAAACTATTAATAATGAATGTGTGTACATAGCACAAACAGGTTGACACAAGCCATTCCAGAAAAAGCCATCCCACCTTGCACTCACATGGTTCTTTCACATTTTTTGAAATTGTGAATTAAAATTGTTGAATTAGAAAATGAGTCACCCTTCTTGAATAATTGTGAGTTGTTTGTTCTGACTCTAAGAAAAAAGGGAAAAGTTTTTAAGGTAACTGCAGAATGTTTTTAGTGGTTGTTGAGTGTACACTTTCCTTTTCAATGCAAGTACATCCTATCGAGGTTGAAATAAAATTTTTGAAATGTTTCATACTTATTAGTAATCATGTCTAATAACATGGTCATTGACTGAGTTTGGTCAGGCCAAACTGGAGGCACCCCCCATTCAGTCAAGAAGCACATATTATTTGGAGGGTATAATAAACAAAAAGAGTTTAATTTATGACATTAACATGTTTTCTGTGGAAGACTTGGAAAAACTTGCATACATTCAAACAAACTCTTCAATTATCAATTGAACCAAATCAAACCTTCTGTCCATATGTTGACATTTCTCCACTGGATGACAAGGGATTGCTTCCAAGAAGTGAGCTCTATCAAGTCAAAATTAAACATTTCTGTTTATAAATAAATGATAAAAGTATATTATTTAAGTTAAAATAAAGATAGAACTTGAACATGTCGTTTTTGCCTTTCTAGTCAGTAAATTTAATTTTCAACAATAACAGGTTGTTTGGTGTCTCTTTTGGTGTTCTTATTCATCAGGAATGGTTGCTTGAATGGGTATCCATGATACTGTTTAATCCAAAACATCTAAGAGTCTGTTTCTTCAGCTGGCTTAACCTTCTAAATTGAGTTAATATATTTACATTTCTGTTTATAAATAAATGATAAGAGTATATTATTTAAGTTAAAATAAAGATGGAACTTGAATACACTGTTTTTGCCTTTCTAGTCAGTAACTTTAATTTTCAACAATGCAAGCAGGATTGTCTATTTGCGTTTAGCCTTTTGGCACAGCTGCCTATCCCACACCATTAAGTGCCACTTGTAGAAAAATTCAGTAAAACCCCTCAAGATTTTTGTCATCAAGTGTCTGTACTATATATCAGACTCTTAGCTTAACAATCCACCTCAGGCCTTATGCTGTATCATTGGGTAAGACAACATCAGTGACAGTGCTGTCACTAGTAGAGTATACCCAACTTTCATATAATTTATGCCAATTTATCACTCATAAGATTTAAACCAGTTACCTTTTTCTGGACTTTCTTCTTGAATCTTTCAGCTTCCTCTTTAGCTTTTGTGTCAACACGAAACTTCTCCTCCATACTTTTGTCCTTTCTTTAAAAAAAAGTGTGAAGAGACTTTCAACCTTTACACCCTAACATCAGTATCCATATTCTCCTTATTATTCCCTACACATTTCTACTGGAACTGACTCTGAGAAATCATTTAACAATCAAAGTTTCTTATGTGGGTGGTCATTTCCTTTATTTTCATGATCTTACTGAATGATTCAGCAGTATTACGTTAAGGAGAAAGTAGATGCTGGTCACTCTTTAGGTTTAAGGATTAAAAATAGGGATGGTTGGTTTTAATACCGTCGAATGTACGACTGCTAGCATATTCTTATGTTCTGATTGGCTGTTTTTCTGGAAAGATTTCCCATAATATTCTAAAAAAACTTCCTGAGCTCTAAAGGCAATCTCCTGTTTTCGCCATTGTTTTCCTTATCCAAGAACGGTATGCATGATATAGATATGGTGTTATTCAGAAATCTTACCCGTACAATTAGCAACTGCCCTGTTTTCTTACTCATTTTGCACAACAAAGTAAACATTACTACTTACTTTCTGCCCTCTTTGATCTCATTCCTCACTTTCTTGATTCTTTCCGCGTATTTATCGTAAAAAGGATTAGATTCTATTTCATCACTTGTAGAAAAAACTCTTACTCTTGCAATAGTTCCAATCTGAGACCTGACACCTTGGAAACAAGGGGTTGCTTTCATGAGATTTCTTACACACGAACAAATACGAACGGTGGCAGCCATGTTGGATTTGTTGTCTACAAGGTGGTGTAAAAATCACTAATTATAACTATCACACTGTCAAACACACACCTGCCTGGCTTAGAAAACTCATCTTTGCTCATTCACTACTGTGAGTGAGTACGTCAAGATTTTGTTGGTCATTTTAGCAGCATGAAGACTAATTTTAAGGGAAGTAAGAAAGAAGCTTGAAATAATAGCTTGTTCCCACACATAAACAACTAAAATTTATTTCAGAAAGAAAAAGAAATGGATTGGTTCAGTGTAGCGAAGATTGTGCAAGAGTACTCCTTTGGTGACGCGCATCTGAGACTTCTCTTGTCGTCCGTGGGAGAAAACATGTAGATTTTTGCCCGAAATCAAATAGAAGATGTTGGGCTGCCGCTTCAAACGTACGTCAAAGGTAAATTTAAGACGCCTTCCCTCTTAAGCCCTTGATCTCTACGAGTGACTAGCATCCAATTTCTCCTCACATATCACCCTTAAATGACACATTAGGGTCACGAGAAGAAAGAAAATGATCACCAACTGAAGAGGCTCTTGACTGATAACGGACTGAATGGACCACGCCTCTCACAGTGAGACCATAATGGAGGTCCACAGGACTAAGAAGATGAGATATAATTGATATAATTATATCTCATTGAGATATAAAGTCGTATTTTGATAAATATCCCCTCCTCCTATTAAAGCGTTCTTCATCCGTCTCTGCATTGAGGACTTTACTTAAATAATTTTTGGAAAATACTTAGTGAACGAGGAATAATTCTGACTACACTCAGATGAGTTATGAGTTATTCAATGTGAAAAGTTTATTTAGGACAAGTCAGCCAGTCTTGAAGTATACGAACCCTAATATGATCTTAACATGTATACGCTGAAAACTAAGGGTTCTACAAAAGAACCTGTGCTACGCCAGATACGAAAAACCACTAAAAAGCCACCCTTCAGAAGCGGCCAAAAAATATGTGGAAACGTATTCCTCATCTAATGCAGCAGCACAATACCCCGAGGAAAGGGTAAACTAATCAGGTTACACTGCTTATCACAAAGAAATATCAATATAAGTAGTGATATTTTACAGGGATTAGGAGAACGAAAATTACATCAATACGAAAAAAAAAAGAAAATGGTTTAACATAGGACTGACCCAGAATGACTTAATTTTCCCGCGAAACGATTAAATAATCCGAAACTTCCATGATGCTATGCGAACCTCTTCAACGTGTCATCAGAATATTAATTTCTGACTAATTTGTTCCCATGTCACTCAAATGTCAGAATTAACACTTCAATAGGGCTGAATTTTACGAATTCGTGAAAAATTCGCCTTTGCCGACCCCAGTAGTTAATTTTTACATGCATTTAGCGCCACATTTAACAGCATAATAGCGAAAAAAGGGAACTCAACGTAAGTATAAGATGACATGTTCGTTTGTGAACATAAAAAATGAAATACACGATCTACGGATTCTGAAGTTACCATTGGGCGGATGGAACCAATCCTTATTGCTCTCAGGCCCCTCGCTTTAACTCTTTTTCCCCTTGGAGAGACTGCCATCTCATTTCTCTTTAAAGAATCTCCTCTGAATAAAACATTAAGGTCACGAGAATGAAGGAAATGATTATCAACTAAAGAAGCTCTTGATTGTTCAACAAATTCTCCTTGTCAGCACGTTAGGAAATGTATAGAGAACAGTAAAGTGAATATGCATACTGATGTCAGGATGTAAAGGGTGTTAAGCAAGTCAATCACTGCTAGATCCATCGCCAACGGCCCCTTCCGATGATCCGCATTCTGGACTAAAAATTTCGGAGAGGCGATCAATTCGCTTCTGAGCAGAAGCAAGTTGACGCTCAAAGCCATCATATTTTTCGATAAGTGCGCGCGCTTCGAGCGCTTTCTCCATTGCCATGGCAACATTCCCTTCTAAACGGAACTGATCGGACCGCAAAAGAACTAGATTAATTTTTGTCCCCACCGCCATGTTATCGGCATCTGGTCCGTGTTCAATGGAGTTAAGGTGCTTCTTAGCTTGTACAACATCGTTCTCGCTAACGAGGTCATCGCTTCCAAGTAATAACTTTGCCATCTTGACAATTATGTACTCCCTATCGACGGGATCAGTTGCACAGTCATGTGCTCTTATGTATGAGTTGTAGGCTGTCTCCTTCTGTGTAATGGGGCAACATTTCGCAACGGGCAGAGCGCAAATATATCCCCCATAGCTTTGATACAGCTCAGCTCTATCGACAGACGAGTCGTGGTACTTGAGAGCTGTTGTAGCCTGTTGCACGCATTTCCTCGCTTTTCCGAATTTTCTTTGAGATTTGTAGATCGATGTGAGAAGGTTCAAAGCTCGTGCTGTCAGAACTTCTGGGTTTGTCATTTGCTTCTCCAGGTTCAAGACATCTTTTGCAATTTTCTTGGCTTCTTTCAAGTTATCATTGCCTTGCATGTACAGTACAACTGCGCGCTCAATCTGCAAACTTGCTCGCAAATCTGTGTTTTTAGCAGACCTTTTCGCCAATTCTTTTTGTATCCGTTGCTCATGTCCTTCAAAATCTCCTTTATCTTGTAGATCCTTTAGCTCTGCTATGAGAAAGATATACCATGAAGAATTCAGACATCCTTGTTTTTTTACAACTGGCATTTCAAGCGGAAGAGAGTAAATAATTTTAATCTGATACCTTCTGTTCCTTATTGTTCCGATCTCTTGGTTCTTTGAGGCGGATTCCTCTTCTTCATCTGAGGAACTATAAACATTCACAGAGTTCTGTCCTTTTGAACCTTTTCCTTCAGAGGCGATTTTAAGCAACTTTGTACCCGAAATCTTGATGCACAAAGTATCTTCTGCGAGTTTTTTAAACTCTACATTCATCACCTGATTGGCTGGTATTGTGCTGCTTTGACAATCAACCAAACAGTTTCCGCCCATAGCTGTTTCTTCAGTCGACAGTTGGATTTCATCATCGTTCCCCAAGTCGTTGCTTTGAAGGCCTAATCGAGTTTGCTTTGCCATGCTGGAACTAGTAGTTACGTCTTTAACTTTCTGGACAGAACCATCTCTGAAACCTTTTACACTGGATCAGCCATTCTTTTTCATGTTGGCACCTTTGGCGAAGATCTTTGAATAAACCATGCAAAATAAACAGCGATCACTCCTTTACTTAACTAAAAAAGAATAAAAACACAATGGTCAATTTTCTGGTTGGTTCGGACAGATACGCGAGATAACTTTTCGCAAACTTTCAATCCAACTGCATGAAACGAGACATTTCACACCGAAAAACTTGCATTACTTTTTATCGATGTACATTTATCTTTTAACCTTTTCGGAGTGTGATTAGCATCTAATTTCTCCTTTCAACCCCAGAATCACACACACATAAAGGTCACGAGAATAAAAAAAATTGATCACCAATTAAAGAACTCAAGGTCGTGATTGTTAAAAAAATTTCCTTATAAGCTTTTTCAAGGAAATATATAGAGAACAGTATGGAGAATATGCATATTGATGTTAGGGTGTAATGGGGTTAAGTTCTTTCTGAAAATAAGATAAACCTACGACAGGCAGGCAATCGGCGTGGGCTCTTTGTTTACGCGGGTATCATGTTTTCATTTATAGTATACGAGGATAGACCGAGACAGAAGAAATATCTTTATTTTCCGAAATCATTTATTTAACTTTGCACATAAAATTCCTAATTCATCATTTTATTGTAAATTCCTTTGATTACCGAAAAAAAAGTGTTCGAAAATTTTCGCGATCTGTTGTCGATTTTATTCCATCACAGACAGTTACCTTAACGAGCAAGAAAGTCGACACGAAAATGTTCCAAAATTAGTCGGAAATTTTTACACCTATATCTAATCTTTGACATATTTTTGCGAAACCAGAAAATTCAGAGATAATTTAAGTTTTCTTCACCCTCGAGCGTGAAGATTGCTGTTACCTTAACTTCACATTAAATTTATCTGGGTTGATTTATCTCGCTGACCCAGAGTTAGTGAATCATCTCATAACAAACCGGAAGTTGTGAAAAAGTGAAAGATTTTATTCTACTTGGTATGAGCACCACGGTCTTTAAAAATTTAACTCCGTTTACCAGTCAACGTTAGGAATAGCCGTATATAAAACATATTTCAAGGTTGAAGCCGGATAAATGATAAAGATCACGTTACAGCGAATATTTCGACCGCAACCGATATGATATTATTTTATTAAAAGGGACAAAAAATTGGTTAAATCGACGCTATACCCAAAATTTAAATCGGATACGATTCCTTTGGGAAAACAATAACGAAACTCACCGATATGATTCCCTTCTTCCTCCTCATTCAGTCGTAATCAAAATTTTGAAAATCGCTTTTCCCTTTCGTTTTGATGCCGTTTGTGCAAAAGATAAGGGATTGAGCCCTTGTATTTTTGATCAGCGGACCCACTCGTTCGCGGCATGAACCTTGTTTTCACTTGCTCTAGATACGATGAAAGTCCTATATATTTGCTAAAGGTCTTGTAGCATGATTATTTTCACTCTTCTCGTTAAGAAATCTAAGTATTTGTTCAGACTTCTTGCCACAAGACGAAAAAATTAAACTAACCAAGTGTGTTTACCCACACGACTTTGCGCGCTTGTTCACTGGCCTTTTTCAATGCTGCGTCATAACTGGCCATCATTTCCCAAGAGATAATTTTTTAACTGCGCAAAATTCCCATTAAGTAATTATGATAATACTAGTTCATTAAAATTATATTATCCCACAAGATGATTGCTCAGTTTTATTTGAAGTTTAGGCAAGATAGATGATTAAGATCAGATCACGTTGCAGCGAACATTTTCAACCACACTCGATATGATTTAATGTCTCAAATTGGACAAAAAATTGGTTAAATCGACGCTGCACCCAAAGTTTAAATCGGCTACGATTCCTTTAAGAAAGCAATAACAAAACTCACCGATATGATTCACTTCTTCCTCCTCATTCAGTTGTAATCACAATTTTTAAAATTGCTTTTCCCTTTCGCTTTG